AATTTCCTATGTCATGCCACAAGAAGTTTTGTTGGTCTCCCCAACCCGAGTTGTAACCATTGAAGTATGGATTACTACCCGGTTCAAAGAAATTTTCATTTGGTTGCTCTAGATAAAAATCCGAGAATTGTCTCGTTGGAAGACAATCTCTTGTATGATGTGAATTACTAGAGCAAAAAGCACAAAACGCATGTGGTGTGTAGAATTGAGTTGGGAGATAATTATCCTCCATCTAGGAGTAATTCAACAACACACAAAGCAATCAACACAACAATTCTTTATCATCAACTCCACATACAATGATCCCTTTCTCCTCAATTATCAACAAGATAGGAAATAAATGGCCACGACAAGGACCGATGCTTGAACACAAAATTTAAACAGGATAAGAGCCTCAACAAGGGCTTCACAACTAAACTAAAACTAAATTTAACACATGCACAATATTCATAACTCGAAACTAGAAGTCACGAGACTTACCTGGGGTCCTCTAGACTTACAATTTGCTAGCATTCCCACGGCGAGCTTCGAGTCCCTAGAATCTTACAACACTTAAAACACAAAGATGGTCAAAACACACAAGGAATATTCACAAGACACAATATTAACAATCAAACTAAAATTAACCCTAGACTTTGGTTGCTAAACCGTATGCAAGTCCCCGGCAACGGCGCCAAAAATTGATCGGTTGGTCAATCATACATCAACCTTCGCAATAGCACGAATCATTGTAAAATAGGGCTATTGGTCGGGTAAGTCGAACCACTGGGACTGCGCTAGTCTAAGGCAACCTAAATGTCTAGAATCGTTCTTAGAATGATGAAGGGGAAATAAGGAGTTGTTTGTTTGTCACTAAATTGAATATGTGAAGTGCATGAAATAGAAACTTACAATAATTGAAACGAGATAAGATACGAGTAAGAAAAACTAAGGAAGTGAATCCGTCTCCATCCCTATACACATGCTAGGCTAAATTTAAATTCGGGAAATCAACATAAACAATGGTCATGATACATAACAACCCTTGGTTGCTATAATATCCTCAAGAGGGTCATTGAATCAAAAACAAGAATAATCCATCAAAGAAATACATGCTTAAACTACCTAAACTAGGGTGTAGTCTTCATCATGCTCCCTAAGCCAAAGATTATCAAGCCCTTAATTGAATGATAAAAGCACATAAAGTTAGGAATCAAGAATAGACCATCAAAGGGGGAACCTAAGCAATGGACTATCAAATTTCTCTAACTTCATGCCATTAAAACTATTCCATGATCTCACTACCATTGTCACCATGAGAGTGCAAGCACTATGATTAAAAGAATAAACCATCTAAGATAGATAATTAATTCAACAATAATCATTAAAATACATGAAGATCCATTACAAGAAGCAAAATGCTCTAGACCATGAAAAGACCATAGGTTATACATTGAAATCCCAAAATAAAATCTACACTAGAACATGCTTACAAGGGAGGGACTTCATCACCTCCCTAGAAGAAGAGTTAGTTACCCATTGGAGCCTTAGAATGAAGAAGAAGCTTGAAGACCTCCTCCATTTTCGTGCTCCTTTCTTCAAGCTTGGAGAACTCTCTTTTTTGCTCCCTTCTCTCTCCTCTAATCTTGTAGAAAATGAAGCTCCCCCCTATTGTGTGGCTCATATCCCTCTTATCTACCACCAAAAGGCCACCAACCAACATCTCCAACCACTTCATTAAAGAGGAAAGCAAAATGAAGAAACCAAGGTGCAAGTGGGCTGAAATGAGCCATTTCCGAAGGGCATTCTGCCCAAAATTCAAGCACTCTAAGCAAGGCCTCGAGCACTCGAATTTAGTGTAAAAATGCCCATGCTTCACTTGCTCCGCCCAGACCTACTTTGGTTAAACAGCCATAATTTTGCGCTCCGAACTCTGAATGATGAACCGTTTGAAGATTTAGAAAGCTAATTCAGAGCTCTAAATATTTCATGTTTTAGTGGAGATCCAATTCTTAAGGATGGTTGGTCGAAAATGAAGATCAAGGCAGAATTTCATTGCTGCCAGGCAGTTCTGCGCACCTCTGGTAACAAGGCCATAACTCTCTGCTCCGAGCTCCGAATGACAAACCGTTTGAAGATTTAGAAAGCTAATTCAGAGCTCTAAATCTTTGATGTTATGAGGGAAGTCTAGTTCTTGAGTTTGGAAGGTCAAAATGGCAAGCAAAGTCCAGGTTCTACTGCTGCCAGAATTCAGCATTGGCACCTTTTGTTGCTCAAGATTCCACAAGGCCTTATTCTTGTTCCATTTTGGCCAATGAACCTGAAAATGCATAAAAACATAGAAATGAAGATAATCTACATAAATTAACATATAACGGACTTTACTAATGCAATTTAGGGCGCTTGAATATATAATATTCGGCGCTTATCATGCCTCATCCTTAGTCTTGATGTGCTTGGAAGGATTTTTTTGGTTTATAGTTGTGTAGTTCGTTAGACATGGACAAAATGTATAAACCATGTAATTTGATGACATCTATGTATTTTGAATAGGGAAATGGCATGGGAACTCAAAGCCATCTTTTGGAGTTCTCGTGTGATTTCTATTCAATCATTTACTTATGAACGATATGTAAAATGATGTAATGAGGCCACGAAGGCCATTTCTATTATGTATATATTTTGGTATCCATTGTCTATGCCATGTTTAATGCTTTGAGTTGATGAAAAATAGGTTTGAGACCATTTCGACGACTATACTAGTGACCAAAGTGGTGCCTTTGCCCTTAAGCATATAAAAAAGGCCATTTGTACAAGCCATACTATCGGTCGACTGGTATGAGATACCGGTCAGCTCGTATATTTTAAAAATTGAAGCAGAATGCTTGCATCTTTAGGACCATGTTTCCGTCGATTGGTACAAGCCATCGATCGACCAGTTTACCTCTTTCCGCCGACCGGTATAAGTTCGATTGGTAGCTTGGTAATTGGACTTCTAATTTTGGACCAGTGTGAGTCCACTCCAAGGTTGGAGATTGCCTAGTTAGGGCTCTATTGAGATCCTATTAATCTTGTAAACCCATTGATCACCTAAGATGGTGATATTAACATGTTTGCTTCCTTATTTCGGGACTTGGTTAAGAGTCCGGATTTACCTTTCCTTATCATGAACCAAGTTTTTAGGATTTAGGGCATTACATTCCAGTAAGAAAAAAAGTATATATTCCTAGGGTTTCCACTTTCACAGGAAGGGCAACATAAGACTTCCGTAGTGTCTTTCTAGAAATCGGAAATCCAATGATCAGTAAGAAATCCCAGCCGCTATTTTTATATACTGTCGTCATTGTCGGCGCACGTAGAGGATGATTCAACGACAATTTATGATTAAGGAAAAGATTAAATATTTAGATTATGACATTTGAAATCCAAAACCACCACGACATGAGCTCTCACAATTTTTCTTTAAAATTAAATTTTTAGATGATTAATTTATTATATATATGTATGTATGTATGTTATATCTTTCATATAATATATTAGATCGTCGATAGTGGTCAGCGAGGTACCACTTTTACTTGTGACGTAGCATTTCCATTTAGGCAAACACATAGGCATATTTTCCTTTTCAAGTAATATATATGACCAGTATTTAGGTCCTCCCTAGTGAGGATCTACACCATCCTTACTCTTGATGTGTACCAATAATAAATGGACATATCGTATTTAATTATCAAATTCAATATGGTGGGGTAGATTCCCAATTACCAAATCAGAGATGGTTATTTGATTACCATCTATGATTTGGTAATTAAAATAGAATGTGTCCATTTATTATTGGTCCACATCAGTGGTCAATATGGTGTAGATCCTCACTAGTGAGTACTTAAGAACATCTTCAACAATTGTTAAAATACTCTTTTGTGTAAAATATGCACTGCTGTCACGTATAATGTGTAATTTTTTATTTATTTTTATCTCTAGTAGTCTGTTAAAATATATGGCCACGTCACCAATATGTAGAATTGTTGTGTATTTTACACAACTTTTTTACACAGCCACATCAGAATATTTCCTTTCTCCTCCTTATTTCTCATTCCATTAATGAATCAACCTTCTATTAAATAGATTTGTAAAAATTATGTGGGTCCAGACATGATATTGATTGATTGTTATTGGAGGATATATTTTTACACAAAAGGTATAAAATAACTGCTGGAACTAAAAATAAATAATCCAAAATTTGTGTAAATTTATTATGACACATCAAATTTATACAAAGAAAAATACTCAACTATTAGAGATACTCTAAGTATTGTTCACACACACACACATATTATTTTATGTTATTTGGAAAAGGTCTCGAGTCCATCGAGTGGGGGGTATAAAATAAATTGCCGAAAATTGATGGGTAAATTATTTTTGTTAGGTAAAAAAAAAAAAAAAGGTTCATATTTCCATTTTTGGTCATCCCAAAATAAATATTTCGTTTGAAAAGTCAAAGTACAATTTTTTGTACCAATTTAACCTTCTTGCATTAAATAAATAAATAAATAACCACTACATCCTTGTGGATGCACTATAGATAATTTGATAATTCATTTATTGTCAATACAATAAAGAAATGTTCATTCTCTTAAAATGTTAGATTTTCAAAAAGGGGTATTCTTTTGGAACAAAGAAAGTAATATTTTTTTGTTTCGTAAATATTTTACGATCAATTAAAAAAGAATTTTTTTTTTACATCCAAACCCAGGAGCCCTAGATCAGGTAAGACATATCTGCATATGACTTCATTATCATTTTCTTTATTGAACTTTTGCAACATTTCAAAATAAAATAAAACGAGTATACAATAATTTTGGAAGGAAATGAGTATTTGAGGTGGACTAATTTTTAATAAGTAGTGTATTTTGATTGGTATGCTAGTTCCAACCAATATCGATCACTGGTGAAATTTTTCATCGTGAGTGGATCCACCAGTGAGACAAAGATGATTAGAGGGATTATACACTGTGAGTGAGAGGTAGCATAACTTTTCTCGTTCATTACTTTCCCTAAGTTTTAGATTCTTACTTTCGTCTTGTCGACTCGACTCCTAGAACATACATTTGGATCTTCGATTCTTTATGGTAACTAATAAGTTGTGTCCCGAGATTTCTTAGAATTTGCTCTTTTTTTGGCGGAAAAAGGTTTGAGAATGTAGTGGCAGAGGAGAGAGAGAGAGAGTATGAGAATGGCTGCGGAAACGAATTCACCATCACCATCACCGTCACCGTCAGCCTCAGCGTCTCCGTGTGGCAAGCGAAGTAGAGATCCAGAAGATGAGGTCTATGTCGATAATCTCCACTCTCACAAGCGTTACCTTAGCGAGGTTCTCCTTCTCTCTCATGGGATTTTTGTGTTTCTAATTATATGAACAAATGGGTTTCTATGCGCAAACTTATAATGGGATTTTTTTCGTTACTAATTCTTTGAGCGTATGGGTTTCAATGCTTGTGTTTCGAACTAGGTTTTTGAGCAAATTTGTTGCTCGTATATGTTCTTCCATATAATCTTTTGTTGTTCTATTGAAATTTTTATATATTTATTTGGGAATCGGTGAAATTTGTTACATTTTCTGTGATAAATTTCCAACCTTTCCCCTTAGTTTAAGGGTTTTAATATAATTTTTAGGTTTTCAGCTGTTCTTGTTGTTGCAAGATTTGTTTTTTTTTTTTTTTGTTTTTTTGTTTTCACATTCTTAGTATGAGCAAAGCCCTGGTTATATAAGAATTGGGTAATGGTGCAGATTATGGCATCAAGCTTGAATGGATTGACAGTTGGAGACCCACTCCCTGAAAATATTATGGAATCTCCTGCAAGGTCTGAAAGCATGTTTTATCTAAGGTAATTATGGTATATGTATGTGTTTGTACATATATATATGTACAGTTTTTTGAACTTTTTTCAATCCATATCACTATGCGTTTTCAGAATTTGCATATATATATATATATATATAGATATGTATCTGTGTGCATGGCTTTTAGAATTTTCTATATTGCTAATCAGATAATGGAATACTACTTTGATTAGTGAATCACGGATTATTTTAGAATAATTCATGACCTAACTTTCTCATGTAATGAGAATTATGTCAATTGATAGATCTGGAAATTTTTGTTGCTATTGAAACTTATTGTCGACAAGTGTGACCTTTAACTACTGATGCTCTTCATAATAGAGCTTGCTTATGATGGAGTAATCATTAATTTGAACTACATCTAGAGTAGAATGCAGTATGAGATGCTATAATAATTGTTCACTAAATTCGCATTGTTGTGCTAGTTATCATTATTCACTGGGCAAGTTGGCCTTGTTACTGGGTATGATAGCTGTTACTTTATAATGTACCTTGAATGAGAATCACATAGTTTCTAAAGCATGACATACTGATTAGATTTTCACTGCCTGGTATTTTGCTGTGAGGAAATGGATTTTCTGATACATTTTCTTTCTTTCTTTGGTGGGGAATGGGGGGCTGTCAAACACAGTATCGCACAATGAGGGACTTCTGAATCTATTTCCTATTTATTCTTAATTTTAGACTGCTGGTTATAACTTTAATCCAGAGTCGGCCACTTCTTTTGCTCTTTTAAGCACAGCTTCATCAAGTTAGTGTTTGTGTTTTATTTGTTTTAAAAGGTGAAACCATGAGATCGTACTTTATGATGGTGGTTTATCACCCACCCAACTATGAAGTAGTGTTATAGGTGAAAATTCTCCTTGTGTACTTAGTTAGAGTTTGCTGGAAGCACTTATTACACATTAAATTGTTGCATGCCCCTAGTGACTCTATCAGATCGTGGAACTTTGCTTTTCCTAGTCTCCTTTCTTCCCTTTTTTCCACTAGACTGCAAGAATGTCTCACCCACAGGCTTATCCACTGTCATCTCTTGATTAGGTGCAAGAGATAGTTCAGATTGGTCAGTAGGAACGAGGATACCTGTCCCAACCAGAGCCTCATCCCTTTGAGACAGTTCGTCGAGCACAGCGAATGCATTAAGGTGATTCAACCTGTATTGGAACAATTTACACCTTATTCTTTACCTTCTGTTTGGACTTGGGTTCCCTAAAAGGTTCCTCCTCAGCCACTACACCATTCAGACTGGATTCCTGACCTGAAGCACTAGGGATGTGTCCGTCAATCAAAGTAGGTGTCTTTGTGATCTTCGGCAATGCCACACATTTTCCTTTTTCTTTCACCACCCATTTCTCGGTGACTTTAGACTTGGGAATCTTTGGTGAAGCCACTAGTGGACATTTGTTCACTGCATGATCAATCCTATTGGGTTTCCACTCATACTCGATTTTCACATTGCACTCATGACCATGAATCAAAATGGGAACAGTATCCGGAAAATCGTGTTGCACATCAATTTCAATCATGATGCGGACGTAGAGACCCCTTTCCCTATTCAGAGATGCTTCATCCATATACAATGGTCTGGAAAAATTTGAAGCAATCTTCGAAATTGCAGTAGCAAATCTTGCATGAGTAGGAATATCATAAAGCTTCACCCATAATGGAATCGACGCGAACATGTCACGTTCAAGTTGTATATGCTTGTGCCAGCGCTTGAGAATGATAGGCCTACCTTGGAAAGTATGCACTCTCCCCATTACACTAGTGACTGTCGCCGCATCAGGAAGCCGCACCTGAAAGAATCCATCTTTAAGAGAAACCACCACTGCATTGTTGCACCATCTTTTCTGCACTAAGGCCTTGAAGTGAGGGAAGTAGGGTTTACTCCCTAGCACATAGCACACCACCGAGTGTTGCCAATACTTCATTTCCTCGGCAATATTATGATCCAAAATCTCAACCCTCTCTTGTGATCGACAATCCTTGTAGTACGTGAGGTTTGAGAGACAAGTTTCGGAGTTGTCAACCAGCAATGAACTCCAAGTAGGGTGTGGGGTAAGGCTTGGTTGTGAGGACGACGTCCCCACTGGAATGGGGGAGGAGGTCTGCCCCTCCTCCATTAGACGCACCCCTTGCCGCTCCAAACCCTAGCTGAAAAACCCTAGTTGTCAAGGAGAAACCCTAATTGCCCTTCTAGAGAGAGAATCGACGACAACTCCAAAATTGATTTCTGATCTCTAGTGATACTTCAACCTAATTCTTCTTAGTTACTTCAATACACATTTTTAACAAGTTTTGAACATTAAAATTGTAACTTTTTCAACAAGAAAAGTTCAAAATCACTTCAAAATTTTATAAACTTTTATTCAAAAATAATCTGAATATAGAATGACTATTCTGTCCCCAAAAACAGTCCAGAAAAACCATCCTCTTCTCTCTCTCTCTCTCTCTAATGTTTGAATTTACAGAGGCTCCACCAAGTAGCTGCGCCAAATCCTTTGCTTTCGTGGAAGTGACGTTTTAAAAACAATTTCTTAAACAATAATATCTCTAAAATATAGCAAGAATACGTCGAAAACACACAAAAAAAAAGAAGGAAGAATAAAAGTACCACTCCAAAGTCCAAATATAACATAAAAGAGAATTTAGCTCAAAGGGTAGAGCTCTCATGACAACTATGCAAATGCTCAAGCTAATTCATGCGAAATAAGAAAGGCCAAAAAAGGTTGATGTGGAAAGAAAGCTAAATTTTCATTTAAATTGGTAACCAGAATTACACAACCTTAATGAAATAATGGCACATAATTATTCTCTCTCAAATTACACAACAAGGACATTGACCAGTCACCTATTGCTTTTATTCAAACACATCTGCACTCCAAAATACCTACAATAAATTTTATTAACCTAATTAATACGCATAGCTGAAATAAGCTTAATTTAGCTAATTCTTGGATAGAAAAGCTTGGAGTTTATTGCTCTAAAGCTTTATATCTCAAGTTGAAGCCCAGGTCCTTGTAATTTCACAGAAGCATTTTATACTTGTTGGAAAATATTATTATAGGAACTCTTAAATTACTCTTGGATAGAATATTTGATATGAGAATATCATAGGAGAGATTTAGCCTATGATAGAATATTTGATTGGAGTGATTTTGGTATTAATTTTAGGAATCTTCCATATTTTCCATATTTATCACTTGTATTCTTTCACCTATAAATAGAGGTGATCATTGTATAGAAAGATTAAGAGAGAATATACTAAGAGTGATGTAGCCCTTTGGGCTTTATGTTTCTATCCTTGCGTTCTTCATGTTTAAATTTATCTTCAATTTTATATCTTTCAACATGGTATCAGAGCAAGTTTATCATACCCTACTCTATACTCTACTCGTCTCGGATTTTCGAATCAACTCATCTTGAATCTCCGGATCAACTTGTTTTATCTTCGATCTTCGGATCAACTCATGTCAAATTTACTTGTCTCAGACTCTCACAACTTCATATTTAGTTTCAAGTTGGACACTTGAGTTAAAATCTCCGTGTACCAACTTGGGGGGGTGGGTGAATTGGAAAATATTATTATAGGAACTCTTAAATTACTCCTTGATAGAGTATTTGATTTGAGAATATCTTAGGAGAGATTTTAGCCTACGATAGAATATTTGATTGGAGTGATTTATGGTATTAATTTTAGGAATCTTTCATCAATGTATTTTCCATATTTATCACTTGTATTCTTTCACCTATAAATAGAGGTGATCATTGTATAGAAAGACTAAGAGAGAATATAATAAGAGTGATGTAGCCCTTTGGGCTTTGTGTGTCTATCCTTGCGTTCTACATGTTTAAGTTTATCTTCAATTTTTTATCTTTCAACAATACTGAAGTCTGAACAAATTAGCAAATCAAGAACAGATTCAATAATTACACAACTGTCAGAACAAGAAGGAACAACTGAAAAAGCCCAGAAAATAAAAAAATTTGAAACCAAGAACATAAACAGAACAATAAGGAACAAGTTAAGCAACTGAAGTTACCCAAAAAATTATAACAAAGAGCCAAAAATCAAAATTTAAGACTCAAAAACCTAGAACAGAAAATCAATTAATCAAATACCCATGCATGATGCATATCAAAACTCTTAAAAATTCAATTAATTAAATACCCAAAAAAAAAAAGGAAAAAAGGTGAACAGTAGAATTGCAATATTCTGCCGATTCTTAAGTTTCTACCCAAACGAACGATTTCATGCGATTCAACTCGTTTTTGGGGTCTAGGATCGTAGAATTGTGCGATTTCACAACCTAGAATTGCGAATTTAACAGCGAACGCGCCAAAATTGTCCTTAAGCTTTTGTTGGGACTCCTCGGTGGTGGTAGTGGCGTTGTCGTCAATGGAGAGGTCGATGGTGCCCCAATCAATGGCGGAGAGGTTGATGGTGCTCCAATCTATATGTTTGTGACAATTCCCAAAGTTTGGCCCATCTTAATATTTTTAATCTTCTTTGAACAGGCTTTGATGCTCCTACCTAACCCAAGCCTAGTGTCATGTTCAAGGTCTAGATTCCGAACCCAAATGCAACCAAGTTTCCTCTCCAAGTCTTTTTGTCCTTAATTTGACCGATTTCTCAATTCTAAGCATGTAAGTATGAATTGTAATTCTTTTTCCTCAAGTAATATATCATGTTTTTAATTTTAATTTTTTTAAATAATGATAATAAATTCATTGAACAACATATTATTATAATTAATTTAATTTCTATTAATTATTTTGGTTCAAAATTTTTTATCGTAATGTTGTCCGAAGTCACCCCACTAAAATAATTTTTGATCATCTCACAAAAGGAAAACTTGGAAAAGAAAAAAGAAAAAGACAATTATTTTAAAACATCTAGAATGTGTTTCACTTAATTTTTCTTTCACATAAACTATTTTATATCTTGAAAATTAAAACTATTCTATTTGTTTCCAAAAGCATT